TTCCATCTTCATCTGGGACAACTGCGCTGCTGATGAAGAAGTTGATCCACTTCACTGAGTACCAGAGATAGACCTTTCGGTCCAGGCTGGCCAGTCGCCAAATGTTGCAGAAACCATGCTTCTCCCCAGTAGCATAGTAATAGCCTCTGACATTCAGCAACTCAAGCCTGGGTTGTTGTGAAGGGTTTAGGTGCCTTAAGGACAGTATGATTTGTTACCACTTCTGACCTTCACCCACCAAAAAAATGCATCAACATCAAGCCAGCAACTCGTTTTCAGTGAAGTAGCCGATTCCGGCTTTTGTCTTCAGCACCAAGCAGCCAGTGTCACAGTAGGTGAACTGCCCACACAAGGGAGGCAAGGCCATTGTCGGGGGTGCGCGTAACCTTCCTTGGGGCTAGGGAGGGCAGAGGCGAGGGAAAGCCACATGTCATGCTAACAGCATCTTTTTGTGATCGAGGTTTGTGGTGAAGGTTGTGTGCATGCATGCAGTGGTTTGCTACCATGCTAAACATTCATGTCACTTTGCAAGACCATCTACTTGACTGGCACTGATTGCTCCTTGAGCAATTTCTCGCCGGATAAAAAACTTCCAGCTTGCTGGCCAACAACACATGCATGCAGCCCGAAGGCTTTTACAACAGGTTTGCAACATGCAGCCCGGAGGCTTTTTAGTCACAGCAAGAACATGCAGCCAACAGGCTCTTCAAAGAACAAGCACTGACAGGAAGCCAAAGGCTTTTAGGGATTTTAACATGCAGCCAGACGCTTTTCTGGGGAATGTATAGGGAGCATTATATGGAGCCTACTATAAGGGGGAAACTTTGAATTCAGACAATTGCTTATATGATTTTGAATGAAAATGTGAGCATGCAGCCCAAAGGCTTCTGATATTCAGCAAGAAGATGCACTCTTATGTAGGGCTTCTGAAAATTTTGCAAAAATATTTACTTCAAATGATGAAACTTCACAGGGACATGTGGCTGTGCAGCCCAAAGGCTTGCAAAAAATGCACTTGCAGCTCAAGGTTATTTCTGCTGCAGGCTGTTCGCAAAAGTGAAGCACTTGCCATCCAAGCTGCACTGCTATGCTCAAAATGTTTAAGCAAGATAGGTGCAAAAGCAACTGCAGCCAACACAGCTCATATGGCAATGTTCTTTTGCACATACAGGGTTTAGGGTTTAGGATTAGGGTTTAGGGCTTGGGGTTACATCACATGCTATGCAAGCTGCAGCTATTACCTACCTTGGCAGAACAAGCAGCAAAGCTACTGAAGCTTATGCTGACAGCTCACAAAAACTGTTTGCAAGGAAGCTACTGGCTCTCCAGACAGACTTCCTGAACCTTGGAAAATTATGTCTGTGCAAAATACAAGCTGCTTAGCTCTCATCTTCTGCAGCTGCTTGCTCATCTCCATCATCATCATCATCTTCTTCT